TGTTGATTCGAAATATTGGATAAAAAACTAAAAAATCAAAGCAGACGGCATTTTAGTAAACAATGATTTTCCTCACATATAACCCAATAACAGTGAAATATTGTAACAATTGAACTTTTAACGACTAGAATTCTGGCGGATCCTGGTCCTGTGCCGTGCTTTCAAGAAATTAGTACGTGCTTATCAGTGCGGGGATAATTCTGCGGTTAGCCAAATCTGGTACTGGTTATTTAATATGACAGTATCGTTTCAATGTATACTCATGATAGTACGATGTCATTGCACCATACAATTAAAGGGTGTTGAGTTTGTCTGTCAAAGAAGCGTGATCGAGAACGCCTGGAAAATATGCATGATTCAAAGACTCAGAATTTTAGCCTGTGAAAGAAACATGACACATGATATATGCCTGTGAAAGAATCGTGACACATAATTTAAGCCTGTGAATGAATCATGACACATAATTTATGCTAGTGAAAGAATCACGACACATAATTTATTCCTGTTAAAGAATAACGATACAGAATATATGCCCGTGAAAGAATCATGACACATTATTTAGGTCTGTCAAAAGATTTTTGAAAGAACTAAAGCTCGACAACACATGGCCTCATGGAATGCTGTAAAGCTTACGCAACCCACGGTGATATGCCTTTTAGAGGGTCCTTGTCCAAAAAAGACCCACGGCGATAAAGCCACGGGGAATGCTGTAAAGCTTACGCAACCCACGGTGATAGGCCTTTTAGAGGGTCCTTGTCTAAAAAAGACCCACGGCGATAGCCTCATGGAATGCTGTAAAGCTTACACAACCCACGGTGATAGGCCTTTTAGGGGGTTCTTGTCCAAAAAGAACCCACGGCCATAGCCTCTGGAATGCAGTAAATCTCACATTACCCATTTTGTCCCAACAGAACCAACGGTGATAGTCTCATGGATTGCAGTAAAGCCCACACAACCCACGGTCAAAGCCCATTTAAAGGGTCCTTGTCGCAAAAGACCCACGGCGATAAAGCCACGGGGAATGCTGTAAAGCTTACGCAACCCACGGTGATAGGCCTTTTAGAGGGTCCTTGTCCAAAAAAGACCCACGGCGATAGCCTCATGGAATGCTGTAAAGCTTACACAACCCACGGTGATAGGCCTTTTAGGGGGTTCTTGTCCAAAAAGGACCCACGGCCATAGCCTCTGGAATGCAGTAAATCTAACATTACCCACGCTAATAGGCCTTTAAGAGGGTTTCTATGCAAACAGAACCAACCGTGATAGTCTCATGGATTGCAGTAAAGCTCACACAACCCACGGTCAAAGCCCATTTAAAGGGTCCTTGTCGCAAAAGAACCTAAGGAGTTAGCCTCATGAAATGCAGCAAAGCTCACGCAACACACGGTGATAGACCTTTTAGAGGATCCATGTGGCAACAGAACCCACTGCAATAGCCTCAATGAATGCAGTAAAGCTCACGCAACTCATGGTGATAGACATTTTAGAGGGTCATTGCCGCAACTGAAGCTACGGCGATAGCCTCAGTAAATGCAGTAAAGCTCACGCAACCCACGGTGATCAGCCTTTTTGGTGGTCATTGTCGCAATAAAGAACCCACGGCGGTAGTCTCTTGTAATGCAGTTAACCTCAAGCAACCCATGGTGATAGGCCTTTTACACGGTACTTGTCGCAATAGAACCCCCTTTGATAGCCCCGTGGAATGCAACAAAGCTCACACAACAAACGGTGATAGAGCTTTTTGAGAGTTTTTTTTTTCGCAATAGAACCCACTGTGAAAGCCTTAGAACATGCAGTAAACACTACACAACCCAGGATGGTAGGTCTTTTAGACAGTTATTGACGCAACCCATGGTGATAAACCTCTTAGAGGGTCCTTGTCACAACAGAACCCACGGCAATAGCCTCAGTGAATGCTTTAAATCTCATGCAACCCACGGTGATAGCCCTTTTAGATTGTTCTTGTCGCAAAATAACCAACGGCGATATCATCGTGGAATGCAATAAAGCTCTCGCAACCCATGGTTTAAGGTCCCTTAGAGGGTCCTTGTCGCAATAAAATCCACGACTATAGCCTCGTGGAATGAAGTTAAGCTCACGCACCATGGTGTTAGGCCTTTTAGAGGGTCCTTCTCACAATAGAACCCATGGCGCATAGCCTCATAAAATGTAGTGAAGCTCACGCAACCCATGGTGAAAGGCCTTTTATAGGATTCTTGTCCCTACAGAACCCACGGCGATAGCCTCGTGAAATGCATTTTTTAGGATTATTGTCCCAATAGAGCAAAGGTCGCAATTGAACCCACAGCGAAAACCGTGTGGAATGAGAAAAGCATATTATTGCATTAATTATACTATGTTTTGAAAATTTTAGAAATATGGATTTACTATTTTGAAGCCTGTTTAAATAATTGATCATCAAAACTTTATTGAATTAAGATTTAAATATTAAATTCCACATTCTTACTATATAGAGGATATTAATAGTTGTTGTTTTTTCTATGAATTTCATTGAGCGGTACAAAAATAAATATTTCATGAGTGGTGGTAGCTAAAAATGAAAAATACGCATTTATTTCATGTATTTCACCAATGTTTCTCAATATTTTATTTTATAAGTAAGTAATAAATAAAAAAATTATGTTATTATAGATTAAATATAAAATGTATCTTTATAGTGAGATAAACAAAAACGCTCCCGCTTGGTAATCTCGGTTTAGTCTTTTTCACAGGCAACAATAATCAGTCTATATAATTATTGGAGAGGTCATCAGACCTCTCCACAGTGTTCAGACTGATTGCTGGCGGCATCCATTTTTGCGTATCTGACTGTAGTGAAAGAATCACATTTACAGCTTAAAAATATTAGGAGCAGTCTACAAAATTTGTTTTGCGCATGCTAATTTACAAAATACGACTTAACTTAAACGAAAAATTAACATCGAAGTGAACAAATCGGTATATAGAAAAATCGGAAAATATCATTTACGTTACTTAGCGCTACGTTGTTGTTTCATTCCGTTCTAATCATTTAAACTGTATAAATCAATTACAGTATTGTTTTCTGACTAGCGTTTTACTATTTCATGTTCCGATAAATAGTAACAGTGAAGATAAATAATGACGGTGAACACTTTAGCTACATTAACACCATGCACTATTATATGGCCGAGTGAACCGTGTACCGAAAGTTTGCTGCTTCGGTATGACTAAGTAACGCAACGGGGATTTTTTTGGCGCAAATGGCACACATTTGACACAAGTTTGATTTTCTTAAAATATTGTGGTTGGAGGCATGTAGCTTTATATTCTGTTTATTCCAATCAAATGAAATAAAACATTTTTTATGTAAATCCTGGACTCAAAATTGTCTGATTAACATACTTTATGCCCGTTTTGGAAAATGTTGAGGAAATGTTTCCATATACTTACCAAAACATTTACCGAAAACTTGCTTATTGAATTTTACAAGAAAATTTTATTTGGATACTACTTATCATTTATTTTAAATTTAGTTCCCTTTGTAGAAAAGTATCCCTAAAGCGCCAAGAAAAAAGTCCATTTCTCCGGCATATAATCTTTCAAAACATTCAAAAATGAAGTGTAAAACAAACTTTCATTATGATACAATATATTCAATTTATATAATAAATTATATTTTGTTAAATGATTGTCATTTATAACCATTCATTGTGTCTTTTTTCCAAATATTTTCAAGTTAAACAAATCTTCTACAGCAGCAAAAAGACCTCTCACATGCTTCTTTTTAAAGAAGCAAGCTTGTTTTCATCACATATAAAAGAAAAGTAATGGCAAACTAAACCAAAGGGAGAAAACCACCATAAGGAAAGAATTTCTGTTTCATATATTTATTTACCATTATTTACGTTTACTTCGCTTCCCATTGCTATTAAAATAAACGATATACGGAGTGTAATGATATGACATTTGATCTATTATGGTCAGTGTTATTTGAGCTAAGAGGTGAGGTATTAAGGATGTCTGTTTCTCAGCACAAAGGTTCGGATTCGTACAGCATTAAAGGCACATATCGCCTAAGAAAACCATATTCTTAAAATTCTTAAGAAATGCCAAACATGGGTTTTATACTGTTTTAATAATGGATTAAGGTCATGTTATGTGTTAAACAACTGACGAAAATAGTGCTGAACATACAGTTATGTGTCGTAAAGTTAGCAAAATGTAAGCAAAGTAGTATTTTGACTTCTATACAAAATACTAATTCACTTTAGATCTAATTTTATACCAATTGCCAACAGAAGCAAAAAAACTGTTAAAAGATATCCAAAAAAAGTCTTTGTAAAATAAATAGGATAGCATTTTTGAGGCAGTATGTGCCTTTTAAGGTTGCATATTTCACTAGATCAGTTCGGTATATGCAACGGACGCAAAATTTATCAGCGTTCGCTCAAATAAGGTTTGAAATAAAGTTAAAGAACAGTTTATATATAAAATGTATATACTTTTTCTTGCCTACAATAAATACATGTATATAATATAACTTTTAACTGTGCCTCAAATGCAACGAGAATACCGCAAACTTTCTCTTTAATAACAAAACAGAAAGACGCAAAGAATTTCTGCTTGATATAACCCTTCCTTAACAAGTTGGAATTTATAATACGTGATAAGAAATGTCTAAATGTTTAAAGACATGTAAACAAGTGCCAGACTAGTTCTTAATCGGTGAAAGATTTTACTTTTTAACGCAATATGCTTTTCTTCTTTTTTCTAATTGAAGTTCTTTTTCTTTTAATAGTTGTTCTGTGTGTGTTTTTTCTCAATTATGTTTTTTATTATTATTTTTTTGCTTAATCATTCTTAAAATGATTTAAGATTTTTAACCAAATGTTTCATGTTCCGCCTATAAAAAAAAAAGATGTTTGTGACATGAGTACATGCGCATTATTGGTTATTTACTATTTATCATGATAGATCAGTGAGTAAAAAAGTAAGTTTCTACTACGATCTGAAGGGGGAAAATAATTTTATACATATCATATTACGACAGCAAGCTGGTTTGACGCTGAAAAGCTGTCCAGTATTTATCAAATATGGTAAGAAATCGTTTATATTATTCTTAAATATACACAACATTGTTAAAATCTTTTCAAATGTTTAATCCTTTGATTGTGTATTTCAATTAAAACGTATTATTGATACAAACTTGATAGCTCAATGCGATTCTTCATTTGTTAGAGACGTCCGTGGCCAAGTGGTTATGAAAGTTGCATTTAATCCACTAGTCCTTCACCGCTGTGGGTTCGAAATCCGCCATGGACATAAGATTATTTCTTGTGGTGAAGCTATCCAGCTAGCTTGCAGAACGTCGGTGGTTCTACTCAGATGCCCGTCCGTGCCTGAAATAACGCATTGGGGGGCACCTGCAGTATTCCTTCCCGAATAAAACTGGAAGTCGCCATGTGACATTAAATGTGTTGGTGCGACCACGGATTTATATTACATGTAATATAAATCCGTGGTGCGACTTATAGAAAGCCGCGTGACATATATACAGACTTTTTATTTATGACGTAGGCGTCATACATCATAAGTACTTAGGTTGTTTAGTGTATTTTGTTTAAATAGTTTAATAATGTTTTTTTAGATAAACGTTGTAATCAGTCAAATAAATGTCGCTGCTTTTCACATAGTTGGAAAGATACGAACCTTCCACCTGGTGGCCAAACATTCTTCTGTGCTGACCTGTACGTTTTGAATTTTTTTTCAACAGTTAATAGATTTACGATAAAAAAAATAAAATGTTTTCCACAGTTTTTCCTTGTATTTTGATATTGTGTCTATCTAGTTTATGTAGTTATCCAGCCTTTTCCCTACGATTATTGCATAATCGAATTACTATTTCAGAAAGGAACGAGCTTAGTGTTCACGTCAGTTCTTGTGATATGTTTACTTATCTTGACGGTACATCACACTAACGGCCAAAGAGGTTGGTATTTTGGCCGGCCTTCCTGGGGAGGGTACAGGCCTTGGAGAGGGTATCAACGATGGGGTGGCAGAAGATATCATGGTGGTTATCGACCATGGTTTGGACGACGGCCTTACGGAGGAGGATGGCCGCACGGAGGAGGAGGAGGCCGCCCGCCCATGCACGGAGGAGGAGGTCGTCCTCCCATGCACGGGGGAGGAGGCCGTCCACCAATGCACGGAGGAGGAGGCCGTCCACCTAGGCCTGTACCGACGCCGTAGATGTACTCGGTAACATTACTAGTTATTCTAAATAAGTATGATAATCACACACAAAAGTTACTATGCGAATATGATTGTTTTCTTTGTTGTTGTTTTTTTTTCGGGGGCGGAGGAGGGATAAAGTATGCATTATCTCCCCTTATCCGACATGTGTTGGTGTGTTATGGATTGTAATTGACAAAATTCTTTCTTGATGTTTTACTGTAATACGTATCTTTCTTGAGTAATGAAGATTGTCATTTGTCCATTATTATACATTTGCTAGTTATGTTAATTGAAACAGATTAAATAGATTTTTATCGCTGTTCCTGGACCTATACAATTAACAAGATTTGAACAGTTCTACCTGTACACGGCATGCCAAAGCAAATAATTCAATATCACACGATAACAAAATGGACGTCAAAAACCTCAATGAGGGAAGCTTAAATGGACTCGCCCAACCGCCATGTTTTGTCGGGTTACTGATCAAATACCATTATCAATGTACGAACTCACTACCAGTCTTTAGTCTCTTGCAGAATAAACACAACAAATTGCAATAGTTTTTGCTACGTGCCATTTCTGATAAAAGAAAGTAGTCTTAATAAGAGTTTTTTTCCCACAAAACTGGCACTTAAAGAAAAAAACTTCATAAATGTTTGTTTTTTCTGGGCGAGTTTAATACTATGAGTGTTCACACCTATAATATAGCAGGTCAGTCATAGTCCGTTTTAGAAAAAATCGCAAAGTAGTCGACGGAGTTTAGAACATAAATTTCATTTATAGAATATTCACAGACATCAATTTTGATGTGTAGCAAGTTACTGTTTTTATCGATTAATGCACTGATTAAGTCGCGCATGTAGTCAAACTAATAATATCTTAGAATCTTACTGAGCTCGTCTATAACAGAATGGTAGATAAAATCAAGTATTTTGTTGGCTTTATGTGTTGACCCCAAACAATAAAGGTATTTGGTAATAAATGAAATAATATTTCTATATTCATGGCCGAACGGCGATTTCAAGCATTTTTGAAAATGCTAATATTTGTTAATTGACACATGATTGGTAGCAAATTGTGGCATGCTGTTGGTTACACAACAGATAAACATTTTATATTTAATACCAAATTTGGCTCAGTTTGCTCATTTCGGTTTTTGACGTGTAATATATAGTTACATCTGCCTTGAGTTACGATCATAATTGTGTACATTTTTAATTTCAGGTCTTCTTGCATTTCTACACCGATTTGAAGAAAACATAAACCTATCAAATTTGAACATATTAAAAGGAAATATTGCACTGTGGAATCTATGACTTTCTGATTAAACAAATGTAATTTTGTTAATGACCATACTTAAAATAAAAATACAAATTAACTTTCGAAATTACAGTTTGTCAGTTATCTGATTTTAATGATTATGAAAAAGGTATTTCAAATAAAGCCCATTCATACACAGGCCCCCTATCTGTTAGCAATCGGCAGCTTTTGTAAATATGTCATTTCTTGCCATAAATACCATATATTTTATCCGGAGGGTTGACAATTCAAGGCGTCGCTTTTACAGGCATCTCTCTGTAGGGCAACAACTTCCCAACTTAATCACGACAGGCCAAGCAGTCCTTCCTGCTACTTGGAATGACTTCACTTTAAATTGTCTGACGTGCTCGCCTCGGAAGATAATTTTCAATTTACCATGGTACTTGCTAACTTGTATTTATCGAAAATATCCGACACTCCTTTAAACCTCGTGATTCTCATTTGTAGGATTGGCGATGCTAATTTCCGTATCTAGTCACTCAGTATTGTTAAATTGTCACGTATAACAAAATTTTAAAAGCGAAATTACGGGTCCGCGGGAAGCATGTACAAGCTGGGGATCTGGAGGTATTTAGCTTTACAGAAGAATCAATAGTGAAAAAAAGCTTCTGGCTACTTTGAACCACTCTCGCGTCTGATTCAAGGAAGTAACCAGCGCTTTACTGTACAGAGGAAACACGGTCATGGTCAAAATTGAGCTTGAACCCACGAGACCTGAGTTGCGTTATTTCTGATATATAGTCTAGAGCTTGTGACCGACTTTTCTCTTTTTCTAGGAAATTTTGCTTTTTTGTAGGCTATAATAACCATGAAATAATCATCTGAATATTTTAATAACCATCATTATTGTGTATAATAATTACTGCACAAATAAATTCCTCAAAATGACATGCTTGTGCTCACTAAAACAACCCATTTTAGTCTTAGTTCCGGGCAGTACACATTAGTTATAATTGCATTCACAATATGTTGTATTTTTATGTGTGTTGTTGTTGTTGTTGTTGTTTTGGTTTATTTTTTTTGTAACAGCAGTAATTAACTATAAGAGGCGGAACTCAATTCGATTCTTTTTTATATCATACACAGAGTAACTTCCCATATACTTGCAATTATTTACCGGATTATTTTACATACAGATTGCAGTAATATGTCTTTTTTCTATATTTGTTTTTTCCGTGATTCATCCATGATTAGCATTCTATATTGATGCCAAATACACGATATCTTCTACTTTAAATTAAATTCATGTGAAGAAGTTAGCAATACCTTGCAGAAAACAGGCTTCTACTGGTAAAGTCGTCAGTCATCACGGAAGGTCTGAAATACAGTAGTAATTAAAGTTCGACCTATCCATAGGTTACGATATAAAGAAGGAATAAGTTTCAGACCAATCGTCGAGTTCGACCGAGACGGGGAATTCGAACTATCCGAGTTCGAGCAAATGAAGTATGCGTTCGACTGAACTGTAAACTGTTAATATCAGTAAATTAGAGTCACCTTAACTATATAATGTGTTATTCGCATTTCAAACAACCTCTCCCGTTACGGGGGGAAGTGAGAGAAAAAAGATATGAAATTTCCCACAATTTTGCCGCATACTTGAGTTCTTTTAAACAATTAGTATAAAAAATATCACATGCATTAGTCACATCTCACATGTGATAGATTACGACATTTCTAGATAATCGTGTCGTCATAGAAACACCTGAAATCCTCGGAATTTTATAGCAGACAGCAACAAGTAATTGATCATTAGGTCGGGATAGAATACTAACAAAGGTTTTGATCGAAGAGACGCCTATTTTATACATGTATTTTATAATTAACCCAATTGTAAAAAAAAAATCTTCAATTATGCGAATGTTTGTATCACGTGTGCTGATCTATTGTATTGTATATTGTTGTCTTCATGTAGCAATTATTTAATTGAAACATTCTGTTTTTATTTGACAAAGTTTTTAGTTTTTATTTCCGCGTTAACGTCATGTTTAGTGTATAATTAAACGGCCTTCAAGGACGAGAGTATTTTTTTTTTTTTGCGTGGGAATAGGGGATGTGTGCGGCAGAAATATAATTCGTCATCTAGCATAAAATAGATATTTTTCCATTGGCCATTGCCCATGTGCCAATGAACGGACCTAAATGAACATGGGTCTACAGGGACCCACTGGGTGTTTAAATGATGAGGTGAATATTGCTCGGCGATCATGACATTGAAGGCAATCGTTATTTATAAATTGTTGCTTTAGGCTAAAGCTTTTTTTTTTAATTTTCTGTTGAACATCTAGTTACTCTTTCTTCCCCAATAATCGATAGTATAAGCTTTTTTCACTCATCAACTTTGATTTTGCTGTTATGTAGGTCTTCAGTACCAAGGGTTTTATGAGAAATAAAACTTTTCATAATTGAGCTAAAGTAATTTCTGCGATGATAGCTTTGTGTTGTTAAAAACAGTAAAACTTTCATAACCAACTCATGTTAAATAAATCAATAGAAAATGCTGAATTGTGTCCAGTTATTATAGGAAATGCTTGGACGGACGGACAGACTATATCCAAAAAACGAAAGGATATTTTATTGTGTTTACAGATGGTCTGTATATATGGACAAATAGAACCAAGTACAACTCTTGGGGACACTGTATGATGTCGGAGAGCTTCGGGAAAGTCCGCATCAACACAGTAATAGTTTAAAGGTCATTCAGACCATGGGGTAATATACTTTTTATGATTAATTAAAATCATGTCACACCACCAACTACCCCCTCCCGCTATTAACAAGAAATAACAAGCTCGCTACCATCGTACTAGAAATAAATTATTAACAGTGATTTCTTCCAGATTCTTTAAAGATAAGAGAAAACGTATAACAAAAAATTTCAAGCTGTAGAAAAACACAAAACACAATTTTGACAGCCTTTTTATATTTATTCATGTCTTAAGTCCTTAAAGTCTAGACCTTGGGTCTTGTAAAATTTATTTATACTTTAATAATAACAATAGAAATCTTTAACACTTAAACTGCTGCAATCTAAAAGTGACCAGCCTATGTCACCAGGACAGAGCCCCTAGGTGCAGCCGGACAAGGCTCTTGGTGCTTGTTCAACTTTTATATTTTTAAGTTACAAAAAAAAGAAAAACAAACAAACAAAAAAAACAAAAAAAAAAGAACACAAAAATGTCAATTTTTCTGAAGAACACAAAAAATTGATAAAAGATCTTAATTCAAAACAAGACAAGTCAATTTAAGAATTCACCAGGTTAAGTGTTAAACAATCAAAACTACAAAGGAAAATAACACAAGAATTATTTCAGTATGAAATAATAGATATACATAATTTATAACTAGCACAATGACAATGGGCACTGATAGATTAACTTTATTACTTCATTAATATACCAACAAAACAGGACACTTCACTTACAGTAAAATATCAACAAAACAGAACCTCAGACATTCCTGTGAAAAATAACATGATACTCTATTGACAGAGTTAAATGACAGATGTAAGTTATTTTCAATTAAAAAAGTCACAGCTTTCTTAACAACTACAACTTGATTTGTCACCTAACATAGAAAACTGGCAGTCAGTAGATTGACACTAAAGAACTCAGAATGATTTCAAAGGGAGGTGTTAGGTTTTCTGTGTTGATTAAGAAACATATTAAAATGGATGGAATTGCTGTGGTAAATTCAGACAATCCTTTTGTGAGGTTTTGTATTCAATATTTACTTATAAATAAACTCCAATTATCAACACTTACGCTGCTGGCAGCATCTTATTACATATGTGCCGCGTCACGACAAAACCAACATAATGGGTTTGCGACCAGCATGGATCCAGACCAGACTGCACATCCGTGCAGTCTGATCAGGATCCATGCTGTTCTCTTACCAACTCTATTACAAGTAGAGAAACTGATAGCGAACAGCATGGATCCTGATCAGACTGCGCGAATGCGCATGCTGGTCTGGATCCATGCTGGTCGCAAACGCACTATGTTGGTTTTGTCGTGACAAGGCTCATGTATACTCATGGTAACAGTGCAGGCCAACTCCAATTTGGCGGCTGAAACCTGCCATCTGATCATGGTCTGCACTACTATTCAGTCAGTACATATTTTGAAATTTTCTTTCAATAAGCTGAATTATTTAGTCCAGATTGAAAGATAGACAAGTCTACTAAAGATGATTATGATTTTGACTCTTTCAACTACACAACAGCAGTACTTATGTTGATAATGTATTATGTATTATATTTTAGTGACATACAAAAATATACACATGTCTTAAGAATACTACCTAAATCATAGTCTAATTGTTCTTGCAAAATTACATATAGTGGGTTAACCGTAAGACTATTGTAAATCCTTTATTTCATTAAAGTTACTGCAGTTGTTGCAGTAAACCCTATATATCAGTTTAAAGTCAGCTTCATTAAGAACTAAACCGTACTGGTGTCATATAAGGAAACATAAGGTAGTCCCGACCCAAGTAAGGCTTGCACTCATGATCCCTGCAATAAGTTAATAACATACAGTTGCCTTAACCACTTGGCTACTTATTATTTCTTAAAGTGCTATATATTATATCATGTTTTTTCACCTTCCTAATTTATACTGGTAAAATAAAGAGAGCCATTTTGGAATCCTTTTCTTTTATCACAAAAACAATCATGTTATTTGTCCATCAAATCATGTTATTTGTCCACAGTATCATGTTATTTTTCACAATTTCATGTTATTTGTCCACAAAATCATATTTTTTGTCCACATAATCATGTTATTTTTATATATGTTTTTTAAAACACCAAAAAGATTGTGTTTTCTTGATAATTTCATGATTCCATGTTTAAATATTAGAACATAAATTAAGATGAAGCAGAAATTAACTTGAAACAGAATAATTTATTTGAAAAAATATTAAAACAATAGCCTTTAAAGAAATAAAAATTTCATGTGTTAATGACAAAACCTACATAAACTGATTTTTGAATTAAAAATAAAGTAAAAAAAATATAATAAAAAATCGCAATAAAAAA